CAAATTACCGACGGATTCTTGTCACGAATAATATTCGTGGCAAATTAGCCATGGATATTTGCCACGAAAAATATTCATGGCAAATTAGCGACGGATATTGGCCACGAATATTATTCGTGGCAAATTAGCGACGGATATTTGCCACGAATATTATTCGTGGCAAATTAGCCACGAATTTTGCCACGAATAATTAGCGACGAATTTTGCGACGAATTATTTTTCGTTGCAAAATTAGCCACGAATTTTGCCACGAATAATTAGCGACGAAAAAAATTCGTCGCAAATTAGCCACGAAAATTGGAATTTTCCGTGGCAAAATTTTGCGACGGCCTATTAGCGACGAATTTTTTTCCGTCGCTAATTTCGTCGCAAATTCATTTTGCCACGAATTTTGTCGAAATTTTTCGTGGCAAAATTCGTGGCAAAACCCGGCTTTTTTTGTAGTGCAACAACTAAAATTCATAGATAAAAACAACATTTGGTGTTCTTATGAGTTCATCGGTCACGGAAGCACACAAGCCATTTGCTAAATGAGAATAGAAGTCTGCACCCGCATGACCACATTAACAAAAGACTACTCTTCAAACTTCTCAATTAATAAACCATTCCCCCCATCTAGTCCACCAAAAGGTATATCCATTGCAAACTGGATAACTAAATAGGTTCTTAACATAAGAAGAATAACGAGAAGTGAAAAAGACACGGCTAAACCTTATTACTTCATCCGAGGAACTTATGTTTCTGACAACAACTTCAACCCAGCTCTCGCGATAATTGAAACGAGGAACAGCATCTAGCAAAGTACAGATGCAGCGAACCACCGCATGTTGATACAAGGAGACCTTTTCTAAAACCATCAACTTCTGCAGGTGTGCCTGTTAAATAAAATTTGAAATAGTTCAGAGCAAATAAAATCGGATCGAACCAAATTCAAAATCAACCTAGTGTCACTGCTACCCAAAAAGCACACATGTACAAAAGAAATAAGGTAAGAGTAGCTTATACTATGGAATTGTCCATAAGCTCAACAATGATTAACATTACACTAACTTAAACCGGAATGTAAGGGGGCGCATGATAACTATTCTATTTCTGTCCAGAACTAGTTTTCTGTTTTCTGGAATAGATTTGGAATAGAAATTCGTTTGGTAACGCAATTCCATTTCTCTATTTCTGGAACAATTTTTTGTTCCAGAACTGGTTCTGGATCAAGAATCAAAACAAAAAAAAGGTAGATTTTCTATTTCTGGACGAGAAATGAGAACCATTTCTAAAAGAAATTTTGAAATTTTTGATTTTTGATTTTTGAAATGGCTTAGAATACCTGTGAAATGGTTCTCATTTCTCGTCCAGAAATAGAAAACCTACTTTTTTTTTGTTCTGATTTTTGGTCGAGAACCAGTTCTGGAACAAAAAGTTGTTCCAGAAATAAAAAAATGGAATTGCGTTACCAAACGGATTTCTGTTCCAAATCTGTTCCCGGGAATAGAAAACTAGTTCTTGACAGAAATAGAATGGTTATCATATGCGCCCTAAGTGAGCTGGCGAAAACTGTTGGTATTAAAGTGAGCGCCGTACACAACTTTTGACACTTTTAGTGTCCTTCTTCCCTTTTTGCTAACTGCCTCATGTCTCTTTAGGCTTTCATGCCTTTAACCGCAAAACAACCAACATGTGAATCAATCATTGGTATTCATATACAGAACAATACGATGTTGTTTTTCACAGGAAGAATAAATAGACAGCATTTTGACATTTTTCTATGTTGTTTTATCAGTTTTCATTTGCAGCAGATTAGTGTAATCACACAGACGCACACATACATATACGCTTCCATATCATAGTTTAGGGCAAAAGGACACTATAAGTGCCATAACTTGTGTACGGCGCTCACTTTGGTGCCATAACTTTTTTTCAGATCACTTTGTTGCCAAGTCGGAGGAAAAACGATCACTTAAGTGTCATAACTTTTTTTTGGATCACTTTAGTGCTAAAATTTTTGAAAAACGATCACTTAAGTGCTAAAATTTTTGAAAAACGAACATTTAAGTGCTAAAATTTTTGAAAAACAATCACTTAAGTGTCAATCTCCGGCGAGACTTCGGCGAGCCACGTCAGCTTCAGAAATTAATAAAAAAAATGCCACGTCAGATTTCCGGCGAAAAATTGTGTACGGCACCGGAGTTGGCACTTAAGTGATCGTTTTTCAAAAATTTTAGCACTTAAGTGATCGTTTTTCAAAAAATTTAGCACTAAAGTGATCCAAAAAAAAGTTATGGCACTAAAGTGAGCGCCGTACACAAGTTATGGCACTTATAGTGTTCTTTTGCCCATAGTTTAGTGTCGAATAATTCCCTGCAATTTTTTGAAGTGTCCCTAAATTGAGCTTCCTCAAAATTTAGGATGTAAATTGATATGTTTAATTTATCACCTTGAAATGGTAGACACATTAGCAATCAAATGAAAAAGAAAGGTTTAGATTGGAGCGCAACGTCAACAATTTACCATGTAGCTAAAATGCCCTTGCATCTAGGAAAAATCACATCTACCAATTCCTCATCATCGGTCTTCCTCTTCTTTCCTCTCCTCTCTTTGTCATTGCCTCTGCCGCACGGTGCCTTGCAACACTACCGTCGCTCGCCTCTGCCGCCTCTAACAATGCCAACCAACCATCAAGGTTGCAAACGGTTCCGCCGCCGCTGCCATCATCCTCTCTCTCTCTCTCTCTCATATCAGATGCTTTTGCAACCACGTTTCCGTCGTTCGGATTCTCCGCCGTCCTAGCAACCCTCGCGCACATAACAGGAAACCTCTATACCGTCATCGTGTAGAACAAATCTTTGGCTACGTCTTTACATTTTTTTAAGCAGTTTACCAACTCGAGTTTAGTATCCAAAGAATGAAGGTCGTATAGGATCTACCACATGCACGTTGTCAGCGACTGACAGCAACACTCCGCAAAGAACATGAATAAGTGCTCCAAATGTACGTCGAACGACGATCCACTACAATGGGGCTAGCTGGCTGACCAGACAGCATCGTAAGCATCATCTTTTCTCCCATGTAAACTCAACGAGTTCGAATTGCCCATCGATAACGCTCAGTCGCTTGTAATTTAAGCAGTGGCCCGTTGCATGTTCTGCATCGGATGCGGCTGTTTGGCAGCGACTTCCGCGGGAGTTCTTTGGTTATGAAGCAGGCACACCTGCCTCTCTTAATCAAGTCAATAGTGGAATATATTGTTCAGAAGCTCTGCCTCAAGTGCTGACCACTTACTTTGCGAACACATGGGCTGTGAACATGGTGGGGGGAAATTAAAAATGCGTACATAAAACTCCACAAAAGATGTAGGTTTTTAGGAGAAAATTACTCAATTGGTTCCGAACCTATTGTACGGATGTCAATTCAGTCCTCAATTTTTATTTCATTTTATCAATTTAATCATAAATCTTTGCGCGAAATTTACCAACTCTTGTTAGAAACTATTAATAATTTAAAGGATTCATCAACTTTTCCTTATTACTATATTAACCAGTTCTAGAATTTCAACTTCCATATGAATTACACTAAATTTTCTATTGAGTTACTAAATCTGGAAAAAGGAATGTTGATGAGTAACTCGAAGGTTGATAATTTCATGTAATGGTTGGTGAAGTTAAGAAATGACGGTACATTTCCAAAGTAATTAATCACATACGGATCTGTCAATCGTGGGTAAGTAAGATTCTTCTTTGCTGGACAATTCTACCTTGGTAGTTTGAAAACCTTGTGCTTGATCAACAAAAATCTTCCATATCTCCGCACTTGGCTCGTCTTCTGATGTCATTCAACAAAAATCAATTGACTTGTCACTTGAACAATGGCTTTTGGACAAAAAGAACTGTAGTGCGGTCCAATGTCGTATAAAGGGTCAAATGATGTCAGTCCAAAAGTGAGATTACTTTGCGAAGGCAAAACATCACATGGTCTGGTTTTACCCAAGGGGCACACCCATAATTGCTTATTGGTACTCAAATTTGTTGACTCTAATCTTTTGAGCTGCGATTGATTCTCTCCAAGACCATTTGTCAAAGCAGTGAGGCGGGATTAGCAATTGATTAAGTTAAACCGTGGGGACTCGTGCTACTGATGTAGGATTCCCAATTTGATCATGATCTTGCTGGTCAAGGTTATAAAGTAAGGGAAAACTTTACTTCCCTTGTAACAACCGACCCCGGTCCATAGGGGCCGGTACTTGAAAAGAGGCTTTCTGGCGTCCAGTGAAGACTCGAAGCATCCATAAAAGTTCACGTGATATAAAACCAACGCCGTCATCGAGGCCAGTGTATATAGCTCGAAACCACAGCACGCAAGATAGAAGTAGGGGTGGCCACGTGGGTTTGGAAGGCGGCTCCTACCATGGAGCATTTTTATCCCAAACTGGATTCAAAACGGGTTTGATCGTATCTTGTTTACTACACTCGTATCCCTAGCAGCGATATGATACGATTCACATTGAGCAAGCCCTAAAAATAAACGATATAATGTTATGTGAGCGAAGGGACGAGTGCCGATGATTGAGATGAAATTCTGCAGTTCTATATCACTAATTGATATTCTATTTCCTACTCAATGTGAGTGGGTGCCACGACTTGCGTTTTAGGTATGGTGAAATTAGTAAATTTGTTCCCAAGCGATCGAAAGTTAAATGAAGCCTTTCCACTTTGCGTGCATGATTGACTCATGCCATGCTTTCTCTCCTTTCCTTTTCAACCACCTCTCCTTTATGATTCGCCCTACTTTCTTCACTCTCTTTTAATGATGGAAGGACAATAGCTATGCTAATCCAAGTAAAGATCCAGTACATTTAGCATTTCTCTAATTGAAATACTAAACTCCATCAACCGAACGTCGTTCCTCGTTCGCCGAATAAGAATTGTTTTCCGGTGGCGCATATAATAGTAACAAATTTCTTATAATAGTCCAAGTGCTTCGAGTATAGTAATGTATGGGCATCAAAAAGACAATCAAATTGAAGAATCCCAATTGGATCTCGAGAAGGAGGGACAAGAAGATCGAACACGAGATGTGGGGGCAAGCAACATATTATAAAGCAGCAACCATGGAAAGTCGGAATTTATATAAATATTGCAAAGAGAAGAATCTCTCCTTCCCATTACTGAAGAAGAAGCTAGCTACCCCACGTCTTCTCTTTATAATCACTTGCTCTCTCTCTGGCCATCACCATCTACAAGACAACTTCATCAGTAGACAGAAAAACAAGCAAAAATGCAGAACCGGTGGATCGAGCTTCTCTTGCTCTGTGTCTGTCTCTTGAGGTTTTCTTCCACGGCATCGTCACTGGACCAGAGCGGAGAGTTCAGCGAGGCCAAGAACTACGAGGGCTCGTCGGATCTTGTGGACCTACAGTACCACATGGGTCCTGTCCTTGCATCTCCCATCAACGTTTACATCATATGGAATGGCCATTGGTACCAGAACCAGCAGGCCACCATACGAGATTTCATCTATTCCCTCTCCGCTCCATCGTCCTATGCCTCTCATCCTTCGGTCGCCGACTGGTGGCGCACCATCCGGCTCTACACCGACCAAACCGGGTCCAACATCACCGGAGACATTGCCCTTTCCGGGGAGTTCTACGACTTCAAATACTCCCACGGAGGTTACCTCAGCCGCTTGGACATCCAGTCCGTCATCAAACACTCTGTCACCGCTTCAGATCCACACGCTCTGCCACTCAATCCTCACAATGGCCTCTACTTAGTCCTCACCTCCTCTGACGTCCAAGTCCAGGATTTCTGCCGCGCCGTGTGCGGGTTCCACTATTTCACGTTCCCCACGATCGTAGGCGTCACCGTTCCTTATGCGTGGATCGGCTATAGTGGGACGCAGTGCCCCGGGATCTGCGCTTACCCGTTCGCCTGGCCGAAGTACTCGGGCAGGCCGCCGCCGAGCACGAACGGGGGCAACGACCTAATGAAGCTGCCGAACGGGGATGTGGGGGTGGACGGGATGATCAGCGTGATCGCCCACGAGCTTGCCGAGGTCTCGAGCAACCCGCTCGTGAACGCGTGGTATGCAGGGGACGACCCCACGGTACCGACCGAGATCGCTGACCTATGCCTGGGGGTGTATGGGAGGGGTGGGGGTGGAGGGTATGTTGGGGCGGTGAACAAGGACTCGTGGGGGAGTGGGTACAACTTGAACGGAGTTAAGGGGAGGAAGTACCTGGTGCAGTGGGTATGGAACCCCGTGAGCAGGAGATGCTATGGTCCCAATGCTCTGGACTGAGGAGGTTGACTTGTGGAGATGGGTACATGCTGACTTCAAGAATGAGTTCCCACTTCCCACTGTCAATGTCCGGAGACCGGCATGGCTTGCGGAGACCGCGATGCCGGAACCGAACGAGGCTGTGTTGGCACGCCTTGTGACTGCAGCAGCTCAATGAAATTCCCCGTCTTTGCTTCTTCCGACGGTGAGGATCCGGAGAAACAGTGCTTTTGCAGCATCATCCTCCTACAACAAATGAACTCACTCGTGCAGTTCCCTATCTATTGCTTCTACCGTAATAGTACAGTTGCTATCGCTTGTTGTAACTCCAGTAGTTTCTTGTTTTTGAAGTAAATATTAGTGTTGACCCAGCTTCACTATGCCAGTGACGAGGTTTCCAGTATGACCCAAACTACTACAAGGCAATCCAGGAGTACCCACACCTAGTAGTAGAAGCAAATGATCCTTGTTACTGAGAAACGAACCGAAGCACAAGAATGCATACTCTACGGATGCCTAATCCTCGTTTGGTCGTCAAACTAAATGACAACAATTATGCAGCTACTACGTTAGAGAATGAAATTGGCCTTAAAGTTCCAACGAAACTAAATGACAACAATTGTGCAGCTTACTACGTTAGAAGATGAAATCGGACTTAAGTTTCCAACGAGGAGGACGAAGTCCAAAGTGACTGCCGAATATGTAGGTCTCCTGGTGCTTCTGATATAAGTCGTGTACCAAACAACAGAAACAAAGATGTCCAGCTGAACATGCGAAACGTCGCAGGAGGGGACAAGCACGTACACTTTGCTGTAAACAAAAGCATAATCACACATGCTTGCTCGTTGTCCATTTCCTGGCAATACAGGATAATTGCAGATGCCTAGATGATATGATTACTGATATAGCAACGAAGATAGCATACACAATCCTACACGATCAATGTATATAGCAACAGTAAATATTAATTGAAGGGAAGAACATTTTTTCCATTGTAAAAAGGGGTGAACCACCGTTTCCAATTTCCCACTAATTCATTTGTGCAAGCACTGATAAGGAAAAGAAATGGAAAAACTCTTAACACGGATAATAAAGAAAATAGCTGTACAACAACATATATGCCCACCTAACATAATTCCGTATATGGTCGGCTTTCTTCTGAAGCCGTTCCCGTAGGTGGTCAAACCCCCTTCTTCATGGAATTTTCTTTATCATTAAGACGAATACGTAAGGCCCCTACTCATAACCAAAAACTGGGCCACATGTCAGAGCAATAAACCTGAATCTCCTCAGCATTTGACCAGTGATTGCTTCGAGCCAATTAGGGTGCTAGCTGAAGTCTTCAATCAACTTGAGGAAAAATTGGGTGCATTTCACAATACGTCAGAGCAATGGATACATCTGTGGTCAATTAGCCTGGTTACAAGACTTCCTGGCTCAGGAACAAGAGTAGAAGTAACGCTGTTCCAAAAATGAAATGTTGAGGATTCATCCAGAATTTTTCTGAAAAGAGAATCTTGTTGTCCACGTTCAATTTCCGTTGAAGGAGTAACGAAGTATCTGTTTGCAGCTCACAAAGGTCAATTTAAGGGCAGACTAGCTTTTGACATGAAAACGTTAAGCTCTATATGGTCTAAATGACAAAAAAAAGATCTTAGGAAACAACTCAAATGGCATCAGCAGTCAAGAAAAAGTTGTTCATACCAGATCTAATGTGCACGTTTGAAAAGGACTGGCACAGAAATGACATGCATGCGCAACTATATGCCTGTGTTCTCGTCATAACTGATAAATAGATGTGAAGTTACATAGCGTATCATCCGAGAGGGTGCAATCAACATTATTTTTTTGCTGGTTCAAGTTTGTAAGATCACACGCCTCTCTCATAAAATCAGTACGACAGAGGCATACTCAAGGTGCTATCACAATCAGTATTCCTGGTTCAAGTTGTTGGAAATTGACATCTCCAGTTGCCAGGATTAACAATTTAATAATTGCTGCAAATTTTCATGAAAATGCGTGGATTTTTCCCCATGAAACAAAGGCTAAAAGAAGACCGTTAGAAGCAAGCATCGTGAAAGCCATCTACTTAGATTCAACGGCTTTCATCATACTCCATCAAGCCCTGTTTATTATTAAGCCCAGAAAATCCAACTTCATCACGCATGCAGGATAGACATTATTTTTGCACCTTCTCTCAATCACGTCAATACAACTGAAACCTATCTAGACATCCCATCACTTCAGATTGCCTATACATGCCTAATGCTTTGTTTAGCCACACCAATCAGATTGTGATGCTGCTCAATTTTTCAATTGAAGGTTTGAGAAGATTTTAACTGCTGTAATTTAAAAAATGAACTCTCATCTCCCGACATGAGCAATATATCTAGTTTTCACTTCCTCTACTGTCTTGTGTGGAATGTTTCTGGTTCGGGATCCATAATCTAATGACAGATCAAGCATTTTGCCTCTATTAAGCTGATCTATTTCAATTTGCAGCTGATGCTGGAAACCATCCACATACTTGTCGAGGAGGAAATGATGAACTTCACATCCATAAGGATTATAATCCTCATCACAAGCAAAAAGTATTGTTTTTACTGTCTCCCAGAAGTGGTGCAGAAGATAAGAGCGGGTTGTTTCTCAGAAGCAATAGTTATCTCAGCATCCTTCCAAACAGTGACATAATAACTGGACCCGTCTGTGTTGACACTTTCAGTCATTCAAAGTTCTTATATTTCTTATTTTTCCAATTTTCAATCAACTAGCCTTAAAATATTCAGCGGTACAGTCCACCTTCAACAACAACACCTCCACATGGCAAGACAAAACTTATGTACTTTAACAGATAAGAAAGCTTGATTAGAAGGAAATGTAGGTCAGGCTTTCAGCAATTACCATATCCCATGTCCTATCACTTAACTATAGCTGTTAATGTAACTTATCCTTAGTGCATTCTTGCTTCATTTTATGCAATCAGCTTGGGATATTTTCTCATGGTCTCACCTAGTTTGTATATTAAGATGTTCACAGCTTTGAATGATACATCCAAGTGAACTTATGCATTAAGACGTAGTCTGACATGAGGCCTGTTGACACTAAAAATTACCTCTGGTGGGAGTGGGCCGTTCACAAGTTAGAGAGGATGTAAAGTGCGGCCCACATGGCGAAAATCCGAAAAAGGCCGCAAGTCAGGCCCAGAAACATTGAGAAGACCTAAGGTAATTATCGACAGGACACGTCATAGAGGTGTCGACAAGTTTAAAATCATGAGCCTTGCACGTGACATCGACGAGTTCAAGATCACGAGCTTCGCACGTGGCATCGACGAGTTTAAGATCACGAGCTTTGCACGTGGCGTCGACGAATCCAAGATCACGAGCTTTGCACGTGACGTCGACAAAATTCAAAATCACGAGTTTTGCACGGAATCATATGGTAATACACATTGAAAAATTCATTTACACGTGTCAAAAGGTAAAGATATGACCGTGGGCGTGAAGAATGACAAGAAATAAAGAGACACGTGGAAGAAAACTAGCTACTACGTGATGCCCAAGGAGCGTAAGCAATATCAACAAGTCAGGAAACGGTTAAAGCGCGAAACGTAAGGAAGTGAAAAATGACTTTCAAGGAGAAGTGTTCGGTCAACAGTTGTCAAGCTGCTCTATAAATACTCAAGGATTTCCAACGTAGAAGGACCCCTTTTCGCAAACAACACAACATATCTTTTATCTGGCTTTACTTTTAGCGCATTAGGAGTAGTTTTAGCTGTAATTTTCAGATTTTGCGTCGTAGATTCAATTCCGGCAAGAGTCTTTATCGGGTTCAACATTGTTGATTAAATTCCAATGTTGTGTCATTAGTTCAGCGTCGTCGATTAAATTCCGGCGTTGTGCTTGGAATATAGCTGTTGATTAGATTCCAGTCATATTCTCTCAAATTACGTCATTGATTAGATTCTGACGTACCTTGAATGGTAATACCGCATATTAGTTGTGTTGTTGATTAGATTCCGACATAGCTTGGTCTCGGTATTTGCAAGTTGTCATTTCATTGTTAGTATCGTCGAGTTCGGCATCATATCGAGTCATGGTGTAAGATCTAAATTGGGATTAATAAACGCATTTGACATTCTCTGTCCAAGCTTGACTCAAGACCCTAGTCTCCCCTAATAAAATCTGAAACGCAGCGTTCGGTGAAAGATTTTCGACGGAGTAAAAACCGGTGAAACATCTTTTTGGCACGCCCGGTGGGACTTCTATTGAGTTAAGTAGAGAGAGTGCTATGCCACGCACCCGGAGTAGAACCAACTCGGATAATACTACTGACAAGCAAGCTGCGTCGATGGCGGAAGATAATACCTTGCTGAGACATCATCCGCTCAACTTCTTCATACCGAGGTTGCTAACCAATCTCGAGAGGAGGTTGCAGATATGTCGAGGCAGCGTGTTGAAGATAGAAGGCAAACTGAGCTCACACCAGTTGCACTTTCTACCATGAGGCGGACTATCGAAGAAACTCAAAACGAGTTTGCTGATTATGTGGTAAGGCGTATGACTGAAGTGATTAGGCCTTTGATTATTAACACTTATCATGAATGCACGCAAGGTCAACATGGATGGAACATCGTACCGACCCAACTGAGAACAGGATCTCCGTCAGCATTGGGGGGTTCTGCAGTACAGTTTGGAACAATGATGCAAAGTACGTCTCCGATCCCACCCATTCGAATATTACCAAGGAGAGAAACTTTGCCAATAGCACCCAGCGAGGAATTAACTCACGCTAGTGTGGACCCAAATGGAGGAATTGCTCGACAGTCGATGATCGATGAAAACCTCCAAAGGGGACATCAGGTTACTCAGGTGCATGGCCCCTCTGTGGTCTAGGTAAATCGTCCACCCGTAGTCCTAGATGTTTAGAATCTTGCAACACCCTTGCTTAGGGGGCAAGAACAGATCCAACAAATGAACATTCAACCACAACGTCAGGCACCCCAGCTTGTGGCGCCTAACGTAAATCAGCATTTTCCACCCCCTATGGGTCCAAATGTTCAAATCCAGCAACCATTGCCAGCACAGTTAAACCCACCAGCTAACCCACCTCTGATTGCTCACAACGTACCACAGCTAATGCATCCACCACCTCAACAGCAGCCACAGTTACAACAGAAGCCATTTTACCAATTGCCTCATCAAAATTTGAATCAACCATTGCCACCTAATTATATTGTAGCTCCTGCGCCTGTCGTGGGTCAAGTGCAAAATCAGTTAGTAGCGGACCCTGTAATGAGGGGATATGGCCATGATATGGGATACCTCCCAAACGTTTATAGAAAATCATATCCTGATTGGATGGATACTATACCATATCCAAGAGGTTTTAAAATGCTAGAATTTACATTGTTTACTGGAGAGGAAGACCAGTCCACTTTTGAACATGTTAATCGTTTTCTGGCTCAATGTGGTGATGCGGCTTATGCTGATTATTGGAAGTTGAGACTATTTCTCTTATCCTTGTCAAAAACCGTGTTTACATGGTATACTGCCTTACCTGCAAATTTGGTTACATCATGGGAACAAATGGAGAGGTTATTTCACTGCCAATTTCAAAGAGCTGTGCCGGATTTGTCGGTAGCAGATCTATCGACCATGAGACAGTTAGCTAATGAATCTGTCGATCAGTTCATTTCCAAGTTTAAAAGGGCAAGGAATAAGTATTTAGTCCCTTTACCTGAAAAAACTTTTGCAGACCTCGCTTTTAATGAACTAAAGTTTGAAATCCGAGAAAGAATGTGTAACATCCTGAATTTCGACTCATTTCCGGGATCAATAATATTGATATTATTTCTGATTTTAGTAAGTCTGGCCCGAAATTGAGCTCTCTCGGGATACTAACCGATATGGAATGGCTAATTATAAAAACGGTGCGTGGACCAGGGACCCGATCGCGAATTGAGCACCGATTCCGAGAAACGACGAGGAAATATTTTGGGCCAACGTAGGCCGATCCTAGGAGGGTGACGGATTTAGTTTGGCCAATGACGTACGATCGGATCGCGGGTGATTCCGCAAGACCGAGAGTGCGCGTGGCGAACAAATCCCGAACTTAAACCGAACGATCGCGACCTCCGGAACTAGTAATAATTCCTCACGTTCTCCTAGTAATCGAGGCCTTCATAACTCGAGTGACCCTAGGTCGATACGCGTAACCCCTAAATAGCCGCCCGTTAGTGAGAGACCCTAAAATGGTAAATTGAGCACTTTTGATCACGGAATTGGATCCGGACTTGGTCGTCGGATTTCGGGGTCGTGAGCGACTATTTTGCGAGGACGATGTCGTTTTAGTGTGGCCACATGTATTTGGGGTTAGTAAGGTCGAAAAATGGAATTTCAGCCCGAAATTAAAAAATGACCATTTTGCCCCTAGGCTAATTTTGGGCATTCCGAATTTTGGATAATTTTGGGGATTAATTTAAGGCTATATTTCAGCCCAACAATTCAGCAAGTGAAAGACCAAAATGCCCCTCCATTATTGGATAGGGTTTAATGAGG